CTTTTGAATAATGTTTTAGTTTCATGATCGAAATAATGAGGGTTACCTCATGTATATCCACATATTTATCAAAATCGTCTCGGGCTTTCCCGAATTAAAGCAATCGTGGACTATCACAGTAACGGACCCAAATTGCACCACCAATTTGTCAACATAATTCACAACAACATCAACAAATATTGAAAATTAACAAACTTTGTTTTCCATCTTTTAAAACCACAGTTAATAGCATAAAGCTGTGGACGGTATAAATGTTTTATAAAATCAAAAGTGGATGTTAGAACTCAAATTGACCATTTCAGAAATTGTGACATCATTGTTAGTTTAATTAATATCAAGGGGCGGTGGTTGTCGCGCAGTGCGTGTTCGGATTTCATGTAAATAAACAATGTATTTTACACGCGTTGTATACGTCGCTATGAGTCCCATATCGAACAGGACGCGGCGTGACGACCACCGCCCTTTAATGATATGGTTCAACATCATACAATTAGCGAGCGCCTCTTTTTGAAACCACGCACGCGCATTGTGAGCGTAGACAACATTTAGCTCTTGAGCCACTATTAAATATTTGAATTTCAATGACGGCATTTACATTTTTTTATAAATATACTTATGAGCAAAGCCACATCTTTGTGCCTTTTTGTAGAGTAATTTGTTTCAAAAATAATGTGATTCAGCGGTGTTTGAAAAGTGATGTCAACGATAATCTTCATTTCTATCTTTCAAAAATAGAAAATAAATCTAATAAGGAAATACGAAGTCCCTCCGACGTATTTGTACCACGCAACACCGTCCGTCCGTTGTTCTATTTGAGATGCGATCAAGTAATTTCAGACGGTTTTTCCTTTTACATCATTTGCTTTTGAAACTATCGTGTTTCTGGTATTTGTTTCTTCAGTATCAAATTATAGCGATGCGCGTTGCCAAGCGAACTGCCTTAGGAAATACAGTCATGCAGAAACAAGAGACGTAATCCTGTAGGGGGGACAAATTAATATTTTACAGAATTTACAGTTTTTCTCCTGAACCGAGCTCCCGACAGAATTGTAACCCCATATTTCCTCTTGGCAAGTAAATTATTTGTTGAAGTGGTTTGGATATAGAGTAAATGACGAATCTTCTATTCTACTGAATGTTGAGCCTGCTTCTGAATAAATATGGTTAAATTACTGTAAAACATGTCTTTTTAGCTAGCATGTTATTTTAGCTAATTTTACCAAACCGACAATTTCGCCAAATTATGATGTCGCTGATTAGTGTATTCTCACAGTAAGATTGTTGATACTTTAGCTAAATTAAGATTCAGTTAATTCATGCATGGAGTCAAACTCGCTAAAATGGTATGTAGCTTTCAAAACTACTTTTCAAACATGAATCGTCGAAACACGACAAAAATTTAATTGGCATGACTGTATTTCTACTACAGCCGTTTCACAGCTTACATGACTATTATACTTACGCGTACATAACCTATTCTCGTTCTAATCGATATTTATTACATGAACAAACGAGTGTCAGATTTAGGACACAAGAGGGCGCGCAACCTCTAAATCCATCGTTACTCATCAATACATATACATATATCACAAGGTGCACTGCAGTAAGGCCAAAAAAATGTTTTGTTGCCATCAGGCCAAATATTAAAAACTCACCATTTTAAGCAGTAAAAAGGTGTTTCCTCTAAAAATTAACGATCCCTGACCGTTGTTTGATCCCCAGGGTCCCCCGGGGGGTAAGTGGCGACTTTGAACCATCTGTATTTCTCTAACATGTTCCGAATACTATAAAGTCCATATACCTCGGCTATTTACGATACCATTAGTTTTCACAAGTTTACCGGCCGACCCAATTTTTCAATTTTCCGACTTGAGGGCAACACAAGTTTTTTTTTTTGCCTAATGAAGACGTTTTCTATCGCGGCTGACATTGTGTTTAAAAGGAATTCAACAATATGGTCCTTACCAGCACTATATCTTTGCTTCTCAATCATCATTTTTTTTCCCATGTGTATGTTCAGTTTCACGAGTAGTAACTTCCATGTTTCTGTCAATCGTTTACTTATTTCACTCGTATCAAAAACGGACATCACAGACGTGGACGTCATCTGCCAAACGGGTGGACGCGTTTTTTTGGACGAAGAACATCCTCCATGCGTATATTTTCATGTTTTACAAACACTAGTGTAATCAAAAGAGTCAATACACAACTTGGATTTTTTTTAAATTACAAAATGATTTTTGAAATAAGTTTATAAGTAATTATATTAGGGATCGCACATCGTTGCAATCTCAAATATCATGATTCCCTTGTCAATAAATATCACTTATATGGCTATCTCTTTTATCATTAACCCTTTGCATGCATAATTCATAGGTCATCTACTTTAAATATATCGTAAATAATACATTTACATTAATCCCTCTCCTCCATTACTACAAAGCCCTCTTTCATCTATATATACGTCTTTGTCTTGGTAATAAATCCATGATTCGAACAACACAACTAAACGATTACAATTATGATATACCACTTTCTGCACTTTTCACTGGGAAGAATGTTTCGGTCTTTTGTATGGAATTTTATTTCACTGATTTTTGATGTCAATGTAAAAAATAAAGTATATTTGGCGGATTTTATGTTCACTGAATGATCCCTTCCAACGAAAATAGATTCAAAGTGAAAATAAAGTATATCTGGCAGTTTGAAGCGACATTGAATGCCTAACTTGTCGCTGCTCGAAGTATATAGTTTCTGTTGTTTCCTGATGACTATGGATTGCATTATTTATAATTGATTACATTGTCTATTTACGGAATTAAAATATCTGTCATGAGAGTGACACTATTAGTCGTCAGGCCGTACTAAATTCTTTTCAAAACAGATACGGGAAGGAGGCTCTTTACAAACGTTGATGGGGTTGTTGTGCAACACCAGGACACATTAGTACTACCTCAGTCTGATCGTTTTATCAAAATCTTAATGGCTTAGCGAGCAACAAGATATAAAAGTGATAGCACCTTGAAATAATTAACACTTATAAAGGACACCCCCATTTTAAATCAGCACATGATGGATGCACGACTGATCTTGCCCAGGGTACATGTATAAGCCCAAGCAATCAATAACATTACATGACCATTATGACTGTCAACCAAGGGGAACTATTTGTAACCAGCAACTCGCTATTTTTCCCCCAAAATTTTCATACCTGTAAAGTGCGCCATATGCGACAAACCAGTGTGTTAAGTACTACCGGTATTCACTTTGAACTTTGTTAAGTGTCAAGATTTTAAATGTGAATGGAGTTCTCAATTATTAAAACTGTTGTCAGAAATGGGTTCGAACCACAGCTCCAGTATTGGGAGTAATTACCTATAATCCCTACTCAAAGTGATTTGGATGATTAGCTCTTTGAAAGTAGCTCATAAAATATACCAGTATTTGCACATGCTTTACACTTACAACTCATTAGTCTCATCTCAACTACAGTATACTTGTATATTCATTCATTTATTCATTCATGTACATTCACACATCCTTCGTCTTTATGGTAATTGTAAACCATTTTCAATCATATCACCACCACCCACCCCGAATGTATTTTCTACAGTTGTATTCATATCCACCCCCTCACCCCGAATGTATTTTCTACAGTTGTATTCATATCCACCCCCTCACCCCGAATGTATTTTCTACAGTTGTATTCATATCCACCCCCTCACCCAGAATGTATTTTCTACAGTTGTATTCATATCCACCCCCTCACCCCGAATGTATTTTCTACAGTTGTATTCATATCCACCCCCCACCCCGAATGTATTTTCTACAGTTGTATTCATATCCACCCCCTCACCCCGAATGTATTTTCTACAGTTGTATTCATATCCACCCCCTCACCCCGAATGTATTTTCTACAGTTGTATTCATATCCACCCCCTCACCCCGAATGTATTTTCTACAGTTGTATTCATATCCACCCCCTCACCCCGAATGTATTTTCTACAGTTGTATTCATATCCACCCCCTCACCCCGAATGTATTTTCTACAGTTGTATTCATATCCACCCACTCACCTCGAATGTATTTTCTACAGTTGTATTCATATCCACCCCCTCACCCCGAATGTATTTTCTACAGTTGTATTCATATCCACCCCCTCACCCAGAATGTATTTTCTACAGTTGTATTCATATCCACCCCCTCACCCCGAATGTATTTTCTTCAGTTGTATTCATATTCTAAGTGTAATTCCTACAGATATTTAGCACAATTTGTAAACCAGACCTTGTACCTTCAATGTGCAACTTCTGGACTTTTGGTAATTTACTGAGAAAGCTAGGATTCAAAACCACAGCATGTAAAGCCAACAGCTATTGCAATTACAGATGTAGGTTAGCAAGGGGGAGGGTATCAGAAGGTTCATTTCAATGTCAAGAGGTAAGCATTGAATAATCCATGAGCTAATGACAGTATAATAATTTTGTTCCTGGTGTTTATGTTAATTAACACAAGTTTGGACCAGCACACTGGAACCAATTGCTGAATTGTTTTTTTTTTTTCATGGCACAAGTCCAAAACACTCGAAAATGTGCGTTTTACAGAAATAAACTTGGTTTTTGCACAATAATACAATTTTAAGTCTGGGATATGTTGAGAATTAAGATTTCAATTGAAAAACTAGAATTCAGTGCACAAGGGCTCAGGTAATTGGGATCAGTTTGTGCCATGGCATGAAATACAGCAAGCCACCACCTGCCAGAGTTAGCACCTTTACTGCAGTTCAACAACTAGCATTTTTTAGCAATGCACAGGATAGATACGAAATAGTGCAATGTTGATATTTTGATGAACCAATGCAAATGCATGCTTGAAAGTCAATGGGAATATTTTTTTGAGATGCAGCTATACAAGTGTTTGAGATATCAGAATGACATTACACTGCATAATGAGCCCCACAGTATCTTTCCAAAATCTCACAAAAACAGGACAATATAACGTTATATTCTGCAACAGGTGTTATTTAATGGTTTTGACAGTGTTTGCAGTTGAAAGTTACATTTACTTTTTTTAATTCATACGGCGGACAAGTCTGTTGATGAAGTTTTCCCTGTTACCATAGTCTCCCCCTTCAACAAAGTGGTTGCCCTTCTTACGAAGTCCACCACGCGGCGAGCTCAGCTTGAATGGCCAGAGAAAGTTACTCGCTTGTTTGAAATGTGGTCCAACAGTGAAAATCTCGTGGATCAAATCTTCGATACAGATGATGTCTGATCTTCCTAATGATTGATAAAAAAAATTAAAAACTTTATAAGTTGCACATAATCAAATTTATTTTCAATAATTACTCAAGGTAGAGAAAAATAATTTAAAGGGCGTTACTGTAGTCGTCGCGCCACGCATGCGCGAGATATATGGGTCTCGTATAAACAAAGATGGCTACTTTGACTGTTGCACAGATCAACGAGTACGAACTGAGGCATTACCAAGCTTTAATTAGGGTAATTTTCATGTGATTGGAAGGTATCAAAGGAATCACTGTACATATTGCTCAACATCTAGTTACAACAAGATTCAAACATGTATCAGTAACAATCACTGTATAACGGGGCCTTTTCAAAGAAGTCACAAGAACATTGGCACTGTTCATTACATGCTGGTTCAGCGTAAACAAAGATGTTCATTATGAAATTCGTTCAACGTTGCTAAGCGAGAAATTTTGCAATGAGTGCAAAATATATTTGGTAAGGCAATGAAATAATCTATAGTAATAAAAACTTACCTAAAACCTTCTCAATGAGATAATTATCTGTTAAGGGAATCCGGCTGCTATTAATCTTACCAAAACCACGCTTGTAGATAAGTTCTCTCACGGTCTTCAAGTTGGGATAACTATAGTTGAGCAAAAATCAAATTATGATTATACTATTACACCGATTCATAACCAATCAAGTAATTGAACAAGCAGCATCTGCTGTGATAGCTCTGCTGTTAGCAATGCACACTTCAATTACAGAATTGAAGATATCACAAAATGCACAATATCAAAGTAACTAGACTTGCGGTTTTCAAGAAGTCAAATAATAAAAAATTTGATGCAGACAATGAAGAACAATCAGTAATATGATTAGCTCTGCTCAACGAAATCGACAGAGCTGAAAATAAAACGCGGTACGATGGTAATAAACAGATCAATTTAAAGTATTTTTTTGGCGAAATTGAGGTAAATTTTCATTATAGTCACTACACATACGTAACAATGTACCATTTTGTATACACTTACCCCCACGCAATGTATGGTTCTACAAGTCTCAACATATTGAGGGTAGCTTTGTTGAGTCGGATGAACACACCATTAAAGATCTGTCTCAGTCTCAGTAACTGTAAAATCTTACGGACACGAGGACTTACACCATTGATACTGAAAAGACAAGTATGATTATGATTTAATGGATGTATCACTAAGGTTGACGTGATACATCTGCTATTTTTTTTAAGCCAGCCACCGTCGTCCCTTCACTGTAGACAGGTACAAATTTACCACAAACCTGTCCAATTTTGATTGTAAATTACAAAATGAGAAAATCCACAACAAAAATCGATCACAAGTCTGGTTACAGACTTGGAACTGCTATCTTGTATGTTTTTAGCTGGGAACTTTCTGGCTATAACCCTGACTGAGTACATGACTTTGGATATTATACCATCTGATATACATTTCACAGAAAAATTACACTAATTGAGCACATTGTTTTCATGTGCATCCGGAACAGATTTATCTATTTGTCGAAAGTCAAATACAAAACGTCTGCAGAATCACGCTCATGTTCATGAAGTATGCGTACATAGAGTTCAGGAAACTGCAGTTGGAAAAATGGAGATGCAAAGAGCAAGTCGTATAAACACTGTACCAATTGCAAAATGGTGTGCAATACCTGTAATTTATTTGACATAACAGTAGTAAATTCATTTATTCATTATATATATATATATGCACATACATATATATATATATATACATACACACACAAGTTGAATACCTACCCACGAATTCTGATGACAAAAGCTAGTTTAGGCTCGTCAGGCACATAGAAATTGTTATGTTTCCTGGCAATACGCTTTAGACGAATTACATCTCTTTCTTGTTTTCTATATTCTTTCACATACTGCTCAGCTCGCTTGTAAATCTTTGCCTTCTTACTTTTACTCGACTGCAATAAATGAAACAAATACTCCTGGTAAATAAGGATGCAGCTAAAATAAATTTTTGACAACAGAATTTTCTGGAGTTTTGCAATTTTATTCAGCAACCAACAATAATGAAACAAGCAGCCTGTCGACCGAGATAGCTCCGCTGTTAGCGATGCGCATTTCAATTAAAAACTGAAGATATCATTGGAAAATGTACAGTATGTATAGTATCAAAGCAATCGGACTTGCTTATTTTCAACAAGAATTCAAAAGTATCACTTTTTACCAAAAAAGACAAAAATATTCATCAAAATTGGAGAATTGCAGATATCACGAAATGAACATATGAGAGAAGTCCACATTTAGTACCTATATATGCAATATCAAAGCAATCGAACTTGCGGTTTTTTACAAGAAGTCGAAAATATCATTTTTTACCAAAAATGACAAAAATATTCACCAAAAATAGAGAATTTGAGATTTTGACATGAAATAAACAAATCTGAGAAAGAACCATCCAAGGTACTTGTATATCAAATTTGAAAACATTCTGACTTGTGGTTTCAAAGAAGAAGTTGAAATTGTGAAGTTGACGACGGACAATCAGTAATATGAACAGCTCCGCTGTGTCGACTTTGTAGACAGCAGAGCTAAAAATGTAATACATTAGGCAAACTAATTTTTGAACTAGAAAGCATTTGCGAGCAAGAACCCACAAATTTGTTTTTCAAGAACAGTACAGAAGTTATTGAATGTTACTTTTTCAGCCTAGTTGAGCTTATATGTAAAGAAGGCAACAGTGCATGCTACAACTAGAGATTTAAAACGTTTCATGTATGCTTCAAGCCAACTTTTTTTATATATTCAATACAGGTGAGGCAAACCTGCTGTGGGCTGTTGAAAATGTGATAGGTAAATTAGATAATTCATTTGCTACTGTTCTACTGAACACATTGCTGGCTGGTAAAGATGACAGGGATAATTGTGCAAATGTGCACATTTGTATGGATTTATTGCTGCCAATGATGGTTGCTGATGGCAACGATTGGGAAATACAGCCATACAAGGCTAATTGTTTAGAACCAGGTTTTTTTTGTCAAGAATATTCGGAATTATAACAGACCTTATAACAGAAATGTTATTTTTTTTTATTTTGGCAATGTAACCATGACTTTTGTAAAGAATTGTGAGATGAGGATTGTCAATGATTTCAAATAAATGAGCGTTGCATCCTGTAAAATTGTATTCATAGACAAAAGAACATACATAACATATGTGAAAACTGTACTTATTTTTACAGGACTTGATACACAAGCTGAAAAATGGTTAAAATGATATTAGTTCTGAATATTGCATAACATCTCTCAGCGGGCAGATCGCCTGGTATGTTCAGTCGGCTGCTTTGTATTTTTAATACTTGCATCCTATAGAAAAGTATCACATTTCTGACTCCTACTTTCTAAATCTGGCCAAACCCCTGCACTTTCTATGGCGCGACTACTACAACCGACTTTCTATTTATACGTCTAACAGGCATCACAATTTATCTTCATCAGTAGTCAGAACTACAGATACCTAAGTTGAGTGATAATTAACATTGCTGATCAAATGAAACGAGACGTAATTAATAAATACAATGTATAAACATAGACTATGATATGAATCACCGAATTCACAAGATGACTTTCTGAGACTGCAAATGCAAACCCAAATAATGTCGAACGTTCCATTCTGTGATAATAGAAACGAGCAGCAGTCGCCAAAGTCTAATAATGTCAACTAAAGCAGATTTCTCTATCTCACTAAAAATCTACATCTAACTCTAATATCACTGCCTGTACCCACCTTCTTTTGCAGCAAGCGTGCCCTGGCCTTCTTGGCTTTCAATTCTGCATACTGTTTTCTCTTCTTTAGAATGGTTTCTGGAACTTCAGGAAGCTTTTTCGCTTCACTGTTTATGAAGAACATAAAAACAACATTTAAATTCTACGATAAAGTATAGAAATCTACAACAAATGACGAGTTTAACAGAATTCAGGGCGACGAAATAAACAAACCAGGCAAAAATATTGAAGACAATTTTTGCTCTGTGAAGAAAACATGCCCATGTTTCGGAAATCGTGTATATTTACATGCACTCATCCATATCGAGAATGAATTTCTCGAAACGCGTTTTATTTGTAAAGCCTTATATCACCACACATAAATAGAGGAACATATACGGTAACTAATTCGAGAGCAATAAAGATAGAAAAGAAGTATTAACATCAGATGGCAGTGGATTTTATTTATCTATCGCAACACACATACCCGTCCGCCATTTTGTTGTTGGCCCAAAAGAACGAACATCCGGGAACCTTGGGCAACGTGCAACCTCGTTCTACGAGGTCGGATTGGCGATCGCCGGTTACGCCTTTAATACCGTGTTACATAACTATATAAGCTAACAGGACAAAATCAAAAATAAAAATAAAAATACCTAAGTAGAATAAAATGCTATAAAACTGATAAAACACAGTAATCCTAAAATTGTCACCTGACTGGAGGTCATAGTTGAAACTAGTATAAAGTTGGTCACATCACAGTCCCTCTATCACCGGTCTCGAAACGCCTATTGTTTAGGGGG